CCCGGCCCGGCCGCCTTCCCCGCCCTCCCCGCCGCGCTCCGGGGCGGTGCATAGGGAGGACGCGCTCCGCCCCTCCTAGTCCAGCCAATGGGCGCCAGGGCCGCGAGCTGTGCGTCTCCGCCTCCACCGGGGGAACTTGAAGGGAGAGTAAAGTTTGTACAGACTGGAAGGGCGAGAGCGGAGCTAAACCCCGGCAGCCGGGGAGGAAAATGAACAGCCCCAGGTCAGGACCTCAGGTTGAGCGGACCCCGAGCCGTCCCCAGGACGCCAGGAGCGGACTCAGCGGCAGCCGCCAACTCCGATAGCTGCCCGCGGCTGGGGAGGAGAACGACCCGCGCCGGGGACCGAGGCTCCGTGCCACCTGTGCGCGGCCGCACACCTGGACGCTGTCCTCCCGCGAACGAGACCTACGGACTCTGCAAAGCTGGGACTCGCCTTGGAAGGAAGGAAAATAAAAATCCAAACAAGAAATCCGAGACCATTCTTCACTGACCGACTCCGCTGCCCTCTGGTTTCCCAAGTTTTTGAAAACTGGCTGGTCTGACCCCTGTTCCGAAAACCTGGCAGCCACTGAGACCCGACTCAGAGAAGCCACAAGCTTGGCAAGTTCCAAACTGAGCGAGACGAGGGTGAAGACAGGTTGGAGGCCGGTCCAGGACATCTGAGGGCCGACCCGGGGGACTTACGAGGCTGCCACCGCTTCGGCCGCTTCAGCCACTTCAGGTGAGACGAGCTTGGGGTCATAAGGTAGAGAGCGCAGAGATCAGGCGTTCGCCAAGGGAAGCCAAGGAGAAGCGAGGGCGCTCTCTCCAAATTGTCTTCCATAACTTCTTTTCAGTGAGAATTGTATTGACTCAGAATCTGTCGGAAACACTAGCGAGCTGCTTTTCCCTTGAGATGGGTCTTGTTCATCTCGGCGATGGAGTTAGTGGGTTGGGGGAGGAGGAGGGAATGGGAGTATCCGCTTATAAATATTAATATCAGCGGTGATGCTGCTGGCGGGACGTATCGGGCGCCTGAAGATTTCGGTGGCCGCACTTGGTAAGTGGCTACAGTCCAGAAAGTAGGATCGAGTTGCTTCCCTTGTCTCACCAGCATCTCATTTCTTGGGCGCGCGTCTGACACCTGGCAAGTGGTCGTTTCCGCTCACGGCGTCTTTACCTCTATTCTACCACCCCCAGACCCAGTCTCGCGCCCCAAGGCAGCGCACCGCCAGCCACTACCATGTCCACTCCCGGAGTCAATGCGTCCGCCTCCCTGATACCCAACCGGCCGAACAGCCCAGTGACCATCCCGGCGGTGATGTTCATCTTCGGGGTGGTGGGCAACCTGGTGGCCATCGTGGTGCTGTGTAAGTCGCGCAAGGAGCAGAAGGAGACGACTTTCTACACGCTGGTCTGCGGGCTGGCCGTCACCGACCTGCTGGGCACGTTGCTGGTGAGCCCGGTGACCATCGCCACGTACTTGAAGGGCCAGTGGCCCGGGGGCCAGCCGCTGTGCGAGTACAGCACCTTCATCCTGCTCTTCTTCAGCCTGTCCGGGCTCAGCATCATCTGTGCCATGAGCGTCGAGCGCTACCTGGCCATCAACCACGCCTACTTCTACAGCCACTACGTGGACAAGCGCTTGGCCGGCCTCACGCTCTTCGCGGTCTACGCGTCCAACGTGCTCTTCTGCGCGCTGCCCAACATGGGCCTGGGGAGCTCGCGGCTCCAGTACCCGGACACCTGGTGCTTCATCGACTGGACCACCAACGTGACGGCGCACGCCGCCTTCTCCTACATGTTCGCGGGCTTCAGCTCCTTCCTCATCCTCGCCACGGTGCTCTGCAACGTGCTGGTGTGCGGCGCGCTGCTCCGCATGCACCGCCAGTTCATGCGCCGCACCTCGCTGGGCACCGAGCAGCACCACGCGGCCGCCGCCGTCGCGGCCTCGGCCTCCTGCCGGGGCTACCCCGCCGCCTCCCCGGCCCTGCCGCGCCTCGGCGACTTTCGCCGCCGCCGGAGCTTCCGCCGCATCGCGGGCGCCGAGATCCAGATGGTCATCCTACTCATCGCCACCTCCCTGGTGGTGCTCATCTGCTCCATCCCGCTCGTGGTGAGTGAGAGGGCCGGGGCGCCCCGCCCGGCCGCCCTGCGGCTTCCCCCTCCCGCCTCGGCCTCCCGCTTCCCCCGGTGTCCTCTGATTCCTCGGCAGCGAACGCGTCTCCTCCTGGTGGGGGCTGGGATTCTCGGCTTTGCAAAGCGGGTCCGGCCGTTTGTAAGTCCTGGCCCTAGTGAGATTTCGACTTAGCAGGTGCTTTCCCTCCGCTTGCCCACGTTTCTTTCCCCCGAAAGCTTGGGTTCCTTTCTCTCCCCGGGACAGCCCTTACCCCTTGCTGCCTGACATTGGCCTTGAGTCTTCCGGCAACACCCCGCCTCTCTCTGTCAGGTGTGGAGGGAGCCCCCTGTAGTGTGATTTAGCCCGGTCCTCCATGCTGTGAGCGGTGAACTGCAGAGTCTGAAACGTCAGAGATGGTGATCTTTTTGTTGTAAAACTTTTTGGTGATTTATGCAGGGTTTGGGGTCCCCCCCCCCGCCTTAGATTATGTCGCATTCTAGAGCTAGAAGACATATCGAATGCTTTTTAGTCTAGTCTAACTCCCTGACTTCACCGAGAGAGGGAATGACTTGCTTAAAATAATCCAGCAGAACCTACACTGTCAAGGTGATTTCTTCCTTTTTACCATGCTGTACCGGGGTTAACATCTTAATGCACACGAATTATAATGTATACATAGGGCAGGGCCCCGACTCAGGTCCCTTCATATTGTCTAGGCCAGGAAAGTAGATTTCTCAGGGGAGCTGATTGTGGACAGGCTGATGCACATCGTATATTGGATTTGAATTCTCAACAATCATGAGGGGTTCAATACTATTACAGAGAAACCGAGGTTTCTGTTACTAGACTTTGGGCTATCGGACTCCAAGCCCAGCTTATGTATTATTACATCATGTCTTCCTCCTAGAATGCTTCTAACTTTGGCCTTTGAGCAGTGAGTTTGAGTTTTGGTACACTTTTAGGGCAACATCTTTCTAAAATCGCCTTGGTTTAACTTTTAAAACATTAAAAGGTTCAAAGTTCTCTACTTTGTGGTTAAAAGGAACACACCAGTAGCAGATGAGCAGAAAAACATAATACTTTATCTAGAGTTTCTCTTGAAAGCAACTATATTTAAAACTCAAAATACTGTATTCCTGGAAAGGCTGAACTACCAACTCAAAAAGAGATGACTTCTCTTTCTTATGCTTACCGGGAGAAGGAGAAAATAAATGCAATGGGCTATTATTCCTTCCTTTCCCTCATTAATACTGTCCAAGGACCTTTGATGTAAAAATATTATATCTCTGATAAAAATGACTGTAGATGGAAGGAACTTAGAGGTGGCTGAGAGCCAGCATACAGTAGCTTCTTGCCAATCCGTATAAACAGAAGTAAATATAATTGGCCAGAAGAGCCTTTAAGCCATTCCAGGACCCAATATAATTTACAGAGTCAAGCCACACTTGAGCCACATAAATATATTTTACTGTCTGTAATGGCAACTCAGAATAAAGTGAGATTTTGGAAGAAACAACTCTGATGCTACTGGGGCCCAAGTTCCTGTCCTCTGTCTTGTGTTTTACAGAACGGTAAATGACAAAGTGAATGGTTGTTATTTACAGAACATCCACTTTAGAGAACAGAGGAATTAGAGCTAGGTTAGCAACATGCGCATACTTCATAAATGTGTTTTGGTTGGAGGTAAGCATGTGACACTGTTGATTCCTGCACAACCACAGATGAAGTGTTTTCCTGCAGCATCTGGAGAGGCATACAAGGCTTACTTCATCTTACGGGATGAAATGGTAGGCCTGGCCCTAAGGTTCAGGGCTGTTTATCACAAAGCCTTAGAACTCGTTTGAGGACCTGGAGGTGAGAAATTATAGGAGCTATATTTGTGGTTTGCAAATTAACCACATTTTACTAACATGAAATACTGTCAACTCTGTATAAAGTCAGTAATGTGTGGTAGATATTAAGTACTGTCATCTTAATCTGAAAATTGAAACTAGCTCAAGTAGAGAGCTGGGTACGGTGGCTCCTGCTTGCAATCCCAGTACTTTGGGAGGCTAAGGCAGAAGGACTGGTTGAAGCCAGGTGTTCAAAACCAACTTAGGCAGCATAGCAAGCTCTTGTTTCTATAAATAAATTAATCAAAGAAACTAGTTTAATTAATGAGTAATCCCATGAGTCCAACACATACCTTTGTGAGAAATAAGGAATCATACAAGTAGTAGCAGCTTCGGTTTTTAGCCTTTAGTTTTGGCTACAAAACTCTAATTTCAGAATCAGTTTAATTGTAAATTAGTGATAAGTGATGGCATCATTATACTACCCACCCACCACAATTCAGCAATCACCAAAAGACTCAGAAGGGAAGCTTATCCACAAGTATAGCAGTCTGCGTTGACTTACTTCACAACTTTCTTTTTCCATATTTCCCATATTCATATTGTAATTTGAAATTAAAGCTCCTAAACTCTCTGACATTTAAAGCAGTCGGGCCTATCTTCAGTTCCAAAGAAACTAATGAGGCATCAAATTTTAACTTTATCAAATCAAGTTGGTTGCTAATCCCATTTGAGGAAAATCAGACCACTGGAATCATTTAGAATGCTTCAGAAAGGCTAATATGGCTTACTTGAAATTTCAGCAAGCTTGACTCAATACATAAGGAAAACAAACAGCTGCTTTCAAAAAGCAGCCAAGTTTGTGTCTTTTGGATATAAGGGAAGAAAAAGTTTCAGTGGCTTTTAAAGGATAGCTGATTTTGACTTTAGTATGAAAAGTAAATTCTAATTGGTTACCCAAAATAGATGTGTCTCATAAATAGAGCTAAGCTCAGAATGGGAATTTGAGAAAGGTTGGGATATTAGTTGTGGATATAAGGAACTGTGCTTAACCCTCAAAATTCTTTCAGTGGGTCATTATCAATGAACAGAGGTGTTAGAAGGTAAGTAAGGTGTAAGGAAGGGTCATCACATGACAAGATTTAGTGGATAGGTGGTAATTAGCATTTTGTTCATTCTATTTAAAACTAACTATTCTCCAGTTCTTTTTTTAAATGCGAGAGAACCTGAGGAAATAAAAGAGTCTACAGTTAAGAAAAATAAAAGGGATGACATGCTTTAAAAATATGCATGCAAGACAGTCTTGTAAGGTCTCAGTATTAAATGCTGTCACTAGATGAATTCTTAGTGCCTAATTTTGCAGTTATTAATGAATGTTAAGATAGCTATTATAATCAAATATTTTGCTTCAGGACTAAACAGTTACACTATAGGATCTGAAAAGGCATTTTCCCCTATGCATAGGCAAGCCAAGGCCATATCTATTGCTTACTTCTTTCTTTTGTTGTCTTTCTTCTTACTCCAAAATAACAAGTATTCCTCTCTGCTAGGGGTAGAATGGCCAATTTGATTAATCTTCTGCCTTGGTTGGGTAAAACTTAGATTTTAGGAAAATAGCTTCCTGTTAATGTTTATTTGGTTGCTTACTATAAACTAGTTGTCTCTATAAAGTCTTTGCCAGAATTTGATCAGCAAAAATTTATAAGGACAGATAAAGAACATGTAAATAGATACACTGTTGTTTACTATAGGCAAACTGGAAGTGTCGTCATAAAACAACTGATGGGATGTTAAATGAGTAGAAATCACATCTGTGGGTACAAGAGTAATGCCATCAATTTGGGTGCCATTATAGCAGAATCCAAGAGATTAAACTATTTTTCAAATAAATGTGGCTGTTTTTTTTTTAAAGCAATTCCTAGAAGCAGTTTTTAAGGCATAATATGAAATTGCAGACCCACAAGTAGAACCTGAAAGACTGTTCAGTAACACATAAAAGTACGGTATTTCCACCTCCGGAATCTCATTTGAATCTTGAAGAATCTCCTGAAAGAAAGTAGAGTAGACAAGTATTTTCACCCTCTCTACACCTCAGTTTCCCCAACTGCAGATAAAGAATTTGTATCATTTTGCCATGTATGGAGTAGCCATAAGTAATCCTAGTCTAATGCTCATTTCACCATGCTTTGCTGATGTGTCAAGCTACAGTTTTATTAAATTATCTACTAGCAAGATTTTTTTCCTCAGAGCCAAGGTAGTTCTTCTAGTCCCCTTATAAAATATTCAAAGTCAGAGTTTAAAAAAATACTTTAGAAATAAATTTTCAATGTAGGGATTGACCTCTAGAGATCATAGGGACTTAACTTTTAACTTGCCTTTGGTAAATGACCAGTTAGCGGCCTAGAAGGAACAAGAATCGAGCTCTCTTATAAACCACCCATCAAGAACTCTTTACACTATTCTTAAAAAACAGAAAGTAAAATGATAAGAACTTCTAGTAACAGCTGTGTCAATTTGGAACTCTTCACAGGGCAGTGAGATAACTGAGCACACACATACAAATAATTCCTTGAATGTGCTTGGAACAGAACAAGTTGCAAGCACACACAAGTCCACAGATCTCCTCATTTACTGGAAAGCATTACGATTTTGACAGTAATTAAATTTATCTAATCAAGATTTCAACATTCTTTCTTCAATTCAACATTCCCTTCAAACAGGTGATTTTTAAGTAGGAAGTACATGTTTCTGATACCATATCATTAACCATATCCCAAAGCTACCTCTGAACCACAGTTGTCAAATTATTGATATATGCCACAAGTGGCTAAGCTTCCACATATAAGTTATAAAAAGTAACGAGGGCCAACATGTCTGTTATATGCTAGGCAATATAATTTTCAGAATCAAAGGTGATTAGAGTCAAGGAAAGAATCAACATTGTGTCTCACTCCATCACAGAAGCAATTAATTTGGACCACCAAAGAAGGATCAGGCACAGTGGCTCATGCAGAATCCCAGTGCTTTGGGAGGCCAAGGCGGGAGGATTGCTTGAGTCCAGGAGTTCAAAACCAGCCTGGGCTAGATAGTGAGATATTATCTCTATGGTGGCATGTACCTGTAGTCCCAGTTACTCCAGAGGCTGAGATGGGAGGACACCTGAGCCCAGGAGGTTGAGGCTGTGGTAAGCCAAGACTGTGCCACTTGCACTCCAGCCTGGCAACAGAGTGAGACCTTGACTCAAAAAAAAAAAAAAAAAAAAAAAGACATAGTACATAAATTAAAAGAAACAGAGCCAGAATTTGAACACAGTTTTGTTTGATTTCAAAGCTTATCTCTACAACATATAGCCTCTTTTAGCTTTCTTGTCCCCACACCACCTTTTGAAAATGCATTTTCTCAAGTTATGTTCCAAAGTTCCTGAACCCTAATCCCTACTCATCCTCAAGAAGTTTAGAATACTGTAATGTGTGTCAGTATTAACAGTAGATCACATGCATAAATCAGTAGCTACTAAGAAAACCAGGGACTTTTAAAATTAGAAGAAAGTAGATACATTGTATTCAGTGAATTTGTCAAGGTGTTTCTCCCCTCCGACTCAGGCTCAGTTTGATAAGCAGCACACTCTTCCAGCACTGAAAACTGCCTGAACTTGTTTATTTGTGTGGCATATAGGGCCTGTTAGACAAGAATTCCAGAAAAGTGCTTTCACCTTCCCACATGTCATTGAAGTACTACTCTGGATATTCCCCTCTTAATCCGGTTCTTCTCCCCTTTGGCGAGAGCAAATTATGTAGCTTTTAAAGTGAAGCGAAGGTTGCTGTATGTCTTCAAACCTTACAAAGTGCATGGAGCTGATGTTCGCTTTTGCCTTTTTTCTTTCTCTATTTGAAGGAAGTCTTTATCGAGAATATGATGCAAAATAGAACTCATATTGATCTCTTCAAATAATTTGGTCAACTTTTGAGAATGTTACTACCTGAATTGGGGATTTTTCTTTTTATACTCGTACTTTGACTACCCTGTGAACTTCTCTCTATTGAAAAGACATTGAGTGAGCAGGTTCAGTGACTTGTAGAAATTGTAAGCTTTTCCCCCTTGGAACTCTAACATAGAGCATTATTTTTAATACACCTTCCTTTCAGTCCCTTCTTTGGTGGTCAGAATTAATTGCTTCTGTGATGGAGTGAGACAATGATGATTCTTTCCTTGCCTCTAATCACCTTTGATTCTGAAAACCCAAGTTAAAGATAAAATGCTAACCCCAGTGTATTTCTTTAAATAGTTACAAATTTCTTTCCATTTTAACTTTTCCAACATTTCTCCCTTTCAGTTGTAGACATATTTCCTTTGAGATTGTGATAAGAGAAGCAACCAGAAAGAAAACCTTTCAATGTTTAGAAAAATCTCAGAAATGTGAAGTTCAGACTTAACCAAGATTCTTTTCTGAGAGTCTTGGAGATGACTGTACAAAATGCTTCTTTGGGAGGTACTGGAGTGGCAAAAATTCCCAAGTGGAGCAACACTGCCACCTAGAGGCATGAATTCTCAAGTTCTCACAAACTCTCATAGGTCTTTTCCAGAAATCATAGAGGATTTGACACTCTCTTTTAAATCCATCATTTCTTCTACCCTTGGGAACACAGTGTGTGATGTGAATAAAATACAGACTTCATGCTTTTTACCAGTAATTCCATTGTCTGTAAATAATTTTTATGGGCTCAGCATTCCTCCCCTGTGCAATTCTGCTAACCTCGTAAATACATTTTAAACAGAAAGATTGTCTAGTAGAACAGAAAAAGCAACTCAAAGGTCATCTGGAACCCAAGACCTAGATCAGACTAGGCCAGAAACAGAGTAGGGGACCTCAAAAAGTTCCTCAAAACCTCTGGGTCTGAGTAACAAACACTTCTTCTGAAAAAAGGCCCATAGAGTCAAGAACTGCTGTTCCCAAGCATAGCTAACAACCTTAATAAAACTTATGGAAGAAAGAAACCAAGATGCTTGTTTTACTAGTCTTTGTAAAGATTAAAAAGAAAACAATTAATCATGCTTTGTCTTTAAATTGTCATTTATCCTAGCTTGGTTTCTTAAAGCGTTTTAAGAAAAAACATCACATACTGCTGTTCATCCTAGTTCATTATTTATTTAGTCACTTTCCAGGGGTCAAGATATTAATTTTCATCTTAGAGTTATGTGACCATTTTATTCTATGAGATTTACAGATCCGTAATCCCTTATCCAAAACATTTAGGGGTAGATATGTTTCAGAATTCAAAATATCTCGGCTTTAGAAAAGTAATCATTAATATACTGTAATAATATGTAGACTCCCCCAGCAGAACTGGGACATAGGAATATTCACTCTAAGTGGAATAAATAAAACTAGATAGTATCACAGTCTGTTCAGTTCAGGTTTTGCTGCCAAAATAAGCTTAGGTCAGATTTTGCAACTAAGCAAATTCCAGACATAAAACAAGTAAAGAACAATGAAACAATAACAAATGAAAACAAGAAAAATCTTTTGGTAGAGGCTCATGGACCTATAGCTAATTAAGATCTAAATTCTAGTTAAGGGAGAAATAGAAATACAGTAATATCTCATTTATCCAGCATTGTTCAGGAAAAAGTTTCATATAATTTGAATTTTGCAGATTAATGAAATTATTTCTTTAAACATTTTAAACTCTCTTTGTTGTCCAAATCATTGTAAATCTTTCTGAAATATCCTTACCCAAATATGGTCACAGCTGACGAGTGCCAAAATGTTATATGTAGATGGTAACCAAATCACCTTTTCCATTGTGAACTGACACGATCCTCAACTAAAAGGCCCTTTCTAGGTGATTCATACACCATGAATCACTCTTTGTTACCTAGTAAGGTAGCGATGTCCACAAGTCTTTTTTTTCTTTAGAGACGGGTCTCACTCTGACACCTAGTCTGGAAGGCAGAGGCACAATCATAGCTCCCTGCAGCCTCAAACTCCTAGGCTTTAGCAATCCTCCTGCTTCAGCCTTCTGAGTAGCTGGGACTAAAGGCATGTGCCACCACACCCAGCTAATTTTTAAATTTTTTGTAGAGATGAAGGTCTTGCTATGTTGCTCAGGCTGTTCTCAAACTCCTGGCCTCCAGTGATTCTCCTGTCTCCACTTTCCAAAAGTGCTGGAATGACAGGCATGAGCCACCAGGCCCAGCCTGTCCTGAAGTCTTGTTAGAGATATTTGCCCCTAGTTCTATGGCTCCAGTTACGTTTTTGTGAGTTCTTCTTGCTCTTTCTTATAGTTTTTATGCATCTTCCTTGGCTGAGAGACTCAAATTCTTGCTTCTCCCTAATCTAAAGTAAGTACTAAAGGCAAGTCATAATTACTAAATAATATTACTAAAAACAGATGACAATTGTCTTAAGGCCACTATCTTTCAGATAATATTTTTAAATAAGTAATCCTAGTATTATTCGAAGATCTTTGCAAAAAAAAATTTAATACTTTAAATTTGAGAGTGCACGTTTAAAAAGCGCATTTTCCTCTAAGGAAAAAAGTGACAGTGTTTTTTAAGTTTACACAAATTCATGCTGTCTTTGCTGAATCATTTGAAGTTCCCAAATGTTGACATATCATTTCTTTCTTCCGTGACTTTGCACATGGAACTACCTCTATTTGAAATGTTATATTCTTCCTTCTAAATTTAGCAAATTCTCACTCATCCATCACACTCTGACTCATCTAGCATGATTATCACTGAGGAACAGAGTCATGGAGAAAATAAATACTATGCTCCGGTCATTTTGGATGATAGGAGAGCCTGATGTTCATGTAAAAGTTTCAGCATATTCTTTCTAATGTAAAAGAATCTTGGCTTTTCTGTAATGGTGAGGTGGTAAATTGACTTACAGAATGAGTTTCCTTTAAATTATATAAAATGGCAGCTAGAATAAGGGAAATCGGTGGTTTGGGGAATAATAGTTATTTCATTCGAATCATAAAAACTTAAAAGCACTCGGAAATGAAGTTAGTAAAAGGCTTCTCAAGGAGACTTTATGCATATGTTACTTGTATGCACGTTGCGTTTTTATATACCATCTTTGATCTAGGAAAGATATTCATAAGATCGTTTTCAAAATATTTAAAGTTTTTTTGTTTTTTTTTTTAGATTACTTAATGCTTTGAAAAGTTTGGGGCTTAAGAATTTTTTTTTAAAGAGTTTTATTTTAAAGATGTGGGGTACAATTCAGGGTTAGGTATACAAATACTCATGATGCAGGTACCCTTGTTGATGAGGTGTGTTCTCCCCTCCACCGCAGTTTCCCACTATCGCCAACCCCTTTCTTACAGTATGATGATAATTGCTCAAGGTTCGTTTATGAGTGAGAACATGGGGTACTCAGTTCTTTGTCTCTGTGAGAGATCACTCAGTACCATAGACTCTACTATGCCAACTCAGAACAGGCCATTGCAACTACTGGTTTTATGATGTAGGCTGTTCTTTTCTTGGAACTTATGACCAGCTCCCTAATGTTGCTAAGGTAGCACTGAAGTGTTTTCCCAGCTGATGAACGGGAAAAATCTAAACGGGGGCATCTCTTCTGTGCAGGTGCGAGTGTTCGTCAACCAGTTATACCGGCCGAGTTTGGAGCGAGAAGTCAGCAAAAATCCCGATTTGCAGGCCATCCGCATTGCTTCCGTGAACCCCATCCTGGACCCCTGGATCTACATCCTGCTGCGAAAGACAGTGCTCAGTAAAGCCATAGAGAAGATCAAATGCCTCTTCTGCCGCATTGGCGGATCCCGCAGAGACCATCCCGGACAGCACTGCTCCGACAGTCGGAGGACGTCTTCTGCCATGTCCGGCCACTCTCGCTCCTTCCTGTCCCGGGAGCTGAAGGAGATCAGCAGCACATCTCAGACCCTCCTGCCAGACCTCTCGCTGCCGGACCTCAGTGAAAATGGCCTTGGCGGCAGGAACCTGCTCCCGGGGGTGCCCGGCGCGGGCCTGGCCCAAACGGACACCACCTCACTGAGGACTTTGCGAATATCAGAGACCTCGGACTCCTCACAGGGTCAGGACTCAGAGAGTGTCTTACTGGTGGATGAGGTGGGGGCCGGCAGCAGGGTCGGGCCCGCCCCGAAGGGGGGCTCCCTGCAAGTCACATTTCCCAGCGAAACCCTGAACTTCTCGGAAAAATGTATATAGTCGCTAGGGAAAGAAATACTGCCGTTTCTGACACCTTATGAAATCCTGTGCAACAGACACATCAATGAAGCATTTGGCCGTGCTCGGAAGGGCTGTCTTCATCCTACGACTCACAAGAGAGAACATCCTGGCTTTTGAGCGCTTTTCAAACAATCAGTTTGACTCACATGTGTCCTAAGGCCTGAAGCACATTGGTCGCTACCCCGCCATGACACAGGGTTGTGGCCAGAACTCGATAGCTGAGAAGATCTACCCTCGGTTTGTCTGTTGGATAGGAGGAAGATGGCTGAAGTTTGGCTATTTGCATCACATCGAGAGCTTCGTATCTGGTACACAACAGAGGCCCAGATACTAGAAGGGCTCTATTCCAATAAACTATGAGGACTATGTTATGGATGATTTATGTGTCTCTCTAAAGCATGAAATGTGAATTTTTATTGTTGTAAATATGATTTAAGGTATTTAAAGTATTTTCTTCTCTGTGAGAAGGTTTATTGTTAATACAAGGTATCATAAAATTATAGTTACCCCTCTTCTCCCAGTATAACCAGCTGAAGTTACAAATGTTAGATATTTTTCATAAACAAGTTCAGGCTAAGGTGTTGAAAATTTACAGTAAGACTAATATCTATAAAATAGATATAAATTTTTTAAAGAGTTTAGTATTATCACAGGAATAAAGAAGAATACTATTTAAGATGTGAAAATTACAGCTCAAAATATTATTCTTTCCAGGCTATGTTTAAAATACATAGTGAAACATTTTTTAGCGATATAACATTTATTTATCCAGAAAACTGTGATTTCAGCAGAAGCTAACATGCTGGTAAATATTTTCAAGTTTCCCCCCCCAATAATTGGTACTTTTTAAAATGTAACATGAGCTATAAAGTCTTTAATAAAAACCTATAATTGAAGTGTATAGTATAAAAAGTCTAAGCAGTTTGTTTTCCCTCTAAAAGTGTGCATAGTTTTACCTTCCTAAGAAAATTTAAGAGGAAGGCAAGTTGTACCATAAAGACCCTTATTTTGAGATGTGGAAGGATCTCAGATGTGGTTAAATTAGTCTTTCATGTATGTCAGGGTGCAGAATTTGAGCACCTAAATGTCACTTTTCTAACAGTTTTGTGTAACACCCAGTCATGCTGTACACATATTTGAAGGGCCATTCTCAAAGAAATAGTAAGCATGTTATGTTGCTCAAAATGTTTGTGTGAATTGCTTGGTTGTAATTAAATTCTGAGCCTAATATTGATATGGTTTTAAGGAGCAGTTGTACCAACTAAAATTATTTTGGAGATTATAATAAATAAATACATTCAGTCTGAGTGTCATATCTCAGTTTAAGAAAATTTGTGTGGTGTTTGTTTGTTTAGGGTCATCATCTATATCCTTTTAAATTAAAATTTTTATAAATATATTTTGAAATAATTTTAAAGAAGTTTCAATTTTAAGGAAAGTTTAAGTAATTTCCAAGAAAAGAATAGAACAAATCCTTGAATAAACTCAGTGGAGTATGGTACTTCATTAAAAGTCTCCAGAGTGCATGGATGGTGGAGGAAACAGTATTATGCTTAGCTTGCTACACGTAAAAGACCCAAATAATTATTATGGAAAATTAGCATAAGTAAATGCAGAATAGTTAATTTTAAGTTAAATATTTTAAGAACTGCCATTTTAAAAATTTTAAGTGCTAATTTTTGTCAATCTTTTAATTGGGTTATTTGTCTACAATAGTCAGTCAAGGCTGCCATAAAAAAAATCACAGACTGGGTAGCTTTAACAACAAAACTCTATTTTCTTTTTTCTTTCTTTCTTTTTTTTAAGTTGGAGTCTCACTCTGTCTCCTAGGCTGGAGTGCAGTGGCACGCTCATGGCCACCCCAGCGTCGACCTACTGGACTTAGGCGATCTTCCTCCTCAGCCTTCCAAGTAGCAGGAACTACAGGCACACGCTACCACACCCGGCTAATTTTTGATTTATTGTAGAAATGAGGTCTCACCAAGTTGCCCAGGCTGGTCTCGAACCCGTGGGCTCAGGCAATCCACTTGCCTCAACCTCCCAAAGTGCTGAGATTACAGGCTGAGTCACCGAGCCCGGCGTCTATTTTCTCACAGTAGTGGATGCTGGAAGTCCAAGATTAAGGTGATGGCAGGATTGTTTTCTCTTGAGGCCTCTCTTCTTGGCTTGCAGATGACTCCTTTCTTTCTGTGTCTCCACCTGGTCTTTTCTCTAGATGTGCACATCCCTGGTATAAGAGATCTCCTTGTAAGGAACCAGTCATACTGGACTAGGACCCCACCCTTATGATCTCATTTAATCTTAATTACCTTTTCAAAGGCTCTATCTCCAAATATAGCCATAATTTTAGGGCTTCAACAAATGAATTTTGGGAGCACACATCTTTCTTATTGTTGAGTGTGATTTTTTTCTTTAAACAGCAGCCAAAGAAAAACAATTTCAGCATTGTTCAGTCATCTATTCCATATTTATTTGTAAGGCTTAACTGATATGCAATGCAAAGACTTTTTGTTTCTTGCTATAGGACACTTGTTCCAGACCATTTAAAGAACTACAAATTTTTCTAGACAGGCAAGTTCTGATTGTCTAACTAGCTGATTAAATCCTACCTGATCTCAAAAGGATTTAGCAGACAAGAAGGTAATTTAACTCCATCTTCTAATCTTTGAGACAATCTAACCAACTAAGTAATGGGTGTTAGAAAAGACAGTGAGATTTACAGGACTATTAAAATAGTGCTTTGCACATGCCCACTACTAGTGGGGCCGAGGGGTCATTAGAAGCCTGAACCTCGCCTTCATGCAATATTCTTATGTAGCAAATCCTCACATGATTCTAAAATAAAATAACATTTTAAAAATAAAATGGTGCTTTAACAGAAACAGAAGACTGAACACCACGTGTTCTCCTTAATAAGCGGGAGATAAACATTGAATACACACAGACACAAAAAAGATGGGAACAACAGACACTAGGGCACTCCAAAAGTGGGGAGGGAGGGAGGGAAATAAGGGTTGAATAATTACCCACTAGGTACCATGTCCACCACCTGGGTGACGAGCTCAGTAGAAGCCCAAGCTCACCATCATGCAATATACCCATGTAACAAAGCTGCACATGTATCCCTGGAATCTAAAAAATAAAATAAAATATTTTAAAAAAATAAAAATAGAGGTGATTTGGCCAGGAGACCATAGAATGCAAGAGTCCTTTTCCAAATCACACTTGCCCTCTCTGCAAGTGTTTTATTTTATTTTATTTTTTTGAGTAGGAATCTTTCTCTATTGCCCAGGCTGGAATACAGTGGCATGCTCACCGTCACCCCACAGTCGACCTGCTGAGCTCCGGTGATCCTTCTGCCTCAGCCATCCAAGTAGCCAGAACTACAGGCGCACACTACCACACTCGGCTAATTTTTTATTTATTGTAGAGATGAGTCTTGCCAAGTTGCCTAGGCTGGTCTTGAACTCGTGGGCTCAGGCAATCCACTCACTTTGGCCTCTCAAAGTGCTGGGATTACAGGCTGAGCCACCGAGCCCCGTCACAAGTGTTTTCTTAGGGCCTCGAATACAAAATGCCATGGAAAAATTCAGGCAAAGTAATCTACTGTTATCTATGCCTCTGCCCTCAAATGTGAATGCAGAAAAATTTGGGTTATACAAAACATTTATTTTTCAAAAACTACTTGTATTCGTTTCTGAGCAAAATCATGGTTGCTTTCATCCACCACTCTCCCAGCATCATGTCCTCCCATCACATCAAAGAATCTAGGATGCTACAATATTGATCTCATGATGGCCCTCCAGATACATGAAAAACGGAGTCAGATTAAAAAGAGACATACAGTAAGAGAGAGTATTTGACCCTATTGTTTAGTGTGGAGTTTCCCTGGGCCACAGCTTGTGCATTAGCCCCAAACTGGAAGCATCATGGGAGAAAAGAAAAGAGAAAACTATCTGGGCCTCTGGAGCTTATATCAATATCAACATCTCTACCATTCATTCATTTCACTTTACCTTTTCAGACCGTCCACCCCACAGCTCACCATGGAAGAAGAGAACAGAAGAGAATACCAAATATACCTATATCCTAAGGACTTTTAACCACAGCAACTCCACACGCTAAAATCTGAACAAATAGGTAAATAGTTTTCTTTCTGAAGAAAGAGTAAAACAGGATTTACTACAATGGAGAAGCAAAAAGAATGCCAAGAAAAATTATGAAAGACAGCTAAAAACAACAGCTCAGCAGAGACTGAGGCAGGAGAGAAAGCTCTAGGATGTCTCTAAGGTTACAAAAAAAAAAAGAGGAGAGAGAAAGAAACTACTAGATCATTTGATGTTTGGCAATATTGAGGGGAGTATTAGAGTTCTATTAGATAAAATCAGGAGAAATTAGTACACAAGTATGCAAAACTAAGGAACAAAAAAGGCAATTATTGACTGTGAAAAACAAAGGAAGGTACAAGAAAGGCAAAATATAATGCACAAAGTGAATTCAATTATGTTTAAAAATTAGTTCTATTAATGAATATAGATTGAAACCAAAATTATAATTATACCGGAAATGGAGGCAGAAGTAGTAAATATTTGAGGGAATGCAAGAGCTAAATCATATTCATCCATAGTAAGAAATCAATAGTTAATATCTTAAATTTTTAAAAATGAAGAAATATTGCGAAACCACAATAATATACTTTTTTTCTCTTTATTACTAGTGCAACGCACCAACCTTTCAAAACTATAATGTACTCTTATACTCCAATCATTTTGGCAGAAATTTTAAGTCCTGAAAATATCTATGCTTCAAAATATTTAATATGAGGGGGGACCAAAAAAACTTGAAATTTATTTATTAAAAATCGTGTATTTATTCTTACATGTTTAAACTTCAGTCACCTTCAAAGTACTCTCCATTTGATGCAATACACCTTTTGAGATGCTTTTTCCACTGCTCAAAACAGTTTTCGAACTAGTCAATTTTGTTTTATCTTTTAATTTTTTTATTTTAAAGATGTGGGATACAATTCAGGGTTAGGTATACAAATGTTCATTATGAAGGTATCCTTGTTGATGAAGTGTGCCCCTCCTTTCCCAGGCAGACTCCCACTACTGCCAATCCCACTTCACCGACCCCTCCCGGCAGTTTCCCACTACTGCCAATCCTTTCTTATAGTATTATTATAATTGTTCAAGGTCTGCTTATGAGTGACAACATGTGATACTCAGCTCTTTGTTTCTGTGAAAGATCACTCACTATTATAGACTCTAAGTCCATCCAAGTTGCTGTGAAGTTCATGATTTTGTTCTTGTTTATTGCTGTGTAATATTCCATTGTGTATATAAACTAGTCGATTTTTATGCCTTTTAGTGCTTTTGCTATTTTTTGTTTCATCTCTTCCACATTAACAAAACGTTTCCCTTTGAGGACTTTTCCATCTGGGGAAACAAAAAGAAATTGCTCAGGGGAAGATTAGGTGAACAGGGATGTTAGGGCAGAAGGGTCACGCCGTTTTTGGTCAAAAACTGCTGAACGCTCAGTGTGGTGTAGACAGTTGTACTCATAAATCATCCATCATGAAATGGTCAAATGTGTTGAAAGAATCTCAAAAAAAGAAAAAAAATCACTGAAGTCAAGCGCAGCCTCTCACAACA